GGCAGTAGTAATGTCCAAGTGATACCAAGACCACAACCAAAACTCGTAATATCTTCCTTGTAATATCATATACTAACAGCGTAAACCGTGTCACTAGAGGTCATGATAGTGTATAAACAAAATAATGACTCCTAGAAAAAAAGTCATCAATTAGTTTCTTCCTTTGTAAAACAATTATTTATTATAATAATGTCATGAACAAAACTTGGTTTCAGCGTTGTGCATGAGGCTGTGGTATATAGTCATGCAAATAAGGCATTGGTGAAAATAATCAGACAGTTTGCTTGTATCAGGGACTAGCAAATTAATGATAACTTGTACAGAGTTACAAGATGTACACAACATATATATTTACGTTTAATTCTGTTTAAGAAAATTTCTGAGAAACATTTAGCATATTGAAACAAAAAGATCTAACTTTACTATTGTTATATATACATTTGTTTACCATTTATTTGTCATATGTGTATTAAAACACTGATTTAAGGTTTAAAGTAAATATGTTAATTGAAATTCGAATAAAATTTTCCATCCATTTTTCGTCATTATGTGTTTTAGTAATTTCAATTACTCTAAATGACAACTAGGACACACTTTTTCTGAACTATGACCCCCGCAGCTGATAAAGACCTGCCAAACACCTAGTTCTGGTGTTGACAATTAAATTACAACAAATTGACCGATAAGTATACGCTAAGGAAACATGGAAGTGCTAATTATCAATCTTTTAAAAGATGATAAAGACATTTGTCCAATTCTCTACAAATCATTAGTGAAAGATTAATTTAAATACTTTAAAATTTAGAAATACCTGTTCTATGACCACAATACGTTCAAGTTATGTGTTATATGGTGACAGTTACAAAAAATACATCTTGGTAATTCGTAAAAATCTTCTAAAGCCTTTGAAATATTATGACCTATAAACAGATTCTGAACTGTGTATATACCCACAATTATATTAAAGTCTGGCCATTCTAAAAGTCCTATCATGTATCTACTGTTTGGTTATGAACTTGACCTTATAAACGAATTGTTGTCTTCAATGTATATACGTGTACCTCCATGCTTTGATAGTTCTGTCTTACACTTAAGAAATCCTAGCAGAAGTATAATAACTTTTAATTACACATATATATATTCCGACATTGATATTCAAATCAAAACCTTTACAGTTCATGAAATTGTGAAAATTCAAGGTTTATACGAGATCGTTGTAACCATGCTGTTACATGAAACTTTAATATTGTCCAGAAATGAGATGTCAAGAGACCTTAACTTTGTCCAGGAATGAGATGTTAAAACTTTTGTTAAAAGGGGACAAACTATCGATAATACGAAATCAGAGACCCTTCTCTTCCTACCGCAAATCATTCAGCGAAAAACAGAAAAGAAATGCTTTCTCAAAATATTTGAATTTGGTTGATAATGGTACTAATTGATTCGAAACTATCTTTATATGACATCGATTTCTTAAAACAATAAAAGTACTGAAAAAACCCGTGTTAAATACTAACTCTCTCTTCATCTTGAAAATGCATGAAATACTTGCCACTGGACACTGAAGAAACAAAAATATGTTAATCTATTAAATACCCGAAAAACCGTTTTATGGTTGAACCGGAGGTTACCAATATTGGTGTGCATTAGGTAAGCTGTAAGTCCATTGCCTGACGGTCTTTTTAAGGATTTTCTTGGACTGTGGCACTTCAAAGTCGGGTAATATAGAAAACATGAACATTGTAGCATAAAAGAAAGGTGTTTTCCATTAACTCTCCATTTTGAGGGAAGAACGTTCGTAGTCTCTAATACATTGCGATCTTGCGTTATTTTGACTCAGCACTTGTAATCATCGGAGCTAATTTATACAAAAATGTTGTAATGTGCTGCGTTTGCAAACAAAACATATGATGAAAAGGTAAATCTTGTTTATATATGCTGGTGTGGATCATAAGCATAAATTTAGGCCAAAATTCATTGCACACGAATAGAAATAACGCAGTCATGTGACAACATTTCAAAGTTCAAGGACATTGAACAAATGGTGGCTGAGGGGAATAAAGCTTTTGTGTGTGGTAATCGGTGAACAGAAAGTTCATATTGGTGGAGAAAATGAATAAGAAAGCGAATGATGTCTAGGTCTGGCAATTCCATGTCTTCTGTTTTTTTTATTTTGAAATATTTGCTACTGACCTTTGAGCAAACAACAAACAATTAATCTGTTATCCATATGTTTTGAGTTCTACAAAATCTTTGTATGCATCTTGGTACTGTGTACTTTAGTGCCTTATCAAATACAATGTAGCTTCTTAAAACACAAAGCAGACAATGGTCCTGGAGAGCTAGTCGATACTAAGCATGTGAATGACTGCTTTCTAAATGATCTTTTCCTTTGCTATGATTTACCAGTCACAGATGTATGATATGACATGTCGTTTTTCCGTCCTTAATTTAGTGTTGATTTTTCAAATTAACCTTTGAGAAATTTATTATCAGGTATACTAAATCTTAACAGCAGCACAGCGGATTACGTAAACTAGGCTGCGCGGTGACATATAGCTGCTAACATCTTCGTCACTTGGTCTCTGTTGGAAAGTTGTCTCATTGACAATCATACCGCATCTCCTTGTTTTATAAACATCTACAGGAGGTAATTTGTCATAAAACAGGTACAAGTGCATATGTACCATATTACTACAGCTATCTAAACGATTGTATGTTCTATTTCCTAAGATATATCGAAATTAGTTATTCACTTCGAAACTTAATATTGGATGACATGCTATATATCTATTCTTTTAAATTTAACGACAAAATGTCATTCCCTCATCTAATATATTCCATAACAATTAATGTTAAACATATTAATCCGTGAGTAGAAACATTAGTTTATGTTATGCATTAAGAAATGTAAAGTACCCAGAAAAATATTTTTCGCAAGACTGTGAAATCTCTTTAACTAAAATGGCACGTTTTTATACTTCTAGTAAAATGTAGAAGTCAGTGGGAAAATGTATATAACAATACAGAACACTTCCTTTATGCTACCCCCTTTTTTTGTAATTTGATATTTGTATCTATAAGGACATTAAACGAAAATTCTGATAGAAGAAAGGGGACATGCACATATCCGTTTAGAGGTAGTTTTCTGTGCACATATCAGTGTAGAGGAGTTTTCACGGCATATATCCGTGCAAAGGAGTTTTCTCGGCACATATCCATGTAAGGGAGTTTCATGGCATGCACATATCCGTGTTAGCGAGTTTTCACGGCATGCAAATATCCGTGTAAGGCAGTTTCCTCGGCACACATTCGTTTAAAGGAGTTTTCACGGCATCCACATATCCGTGTAATGCATTTTTCTCGGCACATAACCGTGTAAGGCAGTTTTCTCGGCACATATCCGTGTAAGGCAGTTTTCTCGGCACATATCCGTGTAAGGCAGTTTTCTCGGCACATATCCGTGTAAGGCAGTTTTCTCGGCACATATCCGTGTAAGGCAGTTTTCACGGCACATATCCGTGTAAGGCAGTTTTCTCGGCACATATCCATGTAAGGCAGTTTTCTCGGCACATATCCGTTTTCCCGACCTGATCAGTAATACCACCAATTTGAACCAATTAATTTGATAAATAATGTCAGCATTTCATTCTTTAGTTTATAAACTGCATTAGTGTGTAAATCTGAAGATAATGATTATATTTATAGTACAATCAATTTCACATGCAGTAAAACGACAATTGCAAAATCAGACGAAACTTTGCAAAAATATTATACAAAATGCTGGAATATTTTTTGTTGAAATCATGTACATTTTATTTGATAGCAACTGCTAGACAATCTGAACAAACGAAAAGCGGACTGGACCGAGCCCCTGTTATGTCAAGATAAACGAACGAAAAGTGAACCGAGCCCATTTCATGCTATGGTGAACGAATGAGAAATGGACCAAGCCCGGTCCAAGATTATAGGAGTGGTCGAATTGTATATTACACAAAATACAACACACTTGAAACAAAAGGTCAAACGAGAAAAAATAGCGTTAATTCAAAAGCAAGGTTAGGTTGATGTAATAATATCCCAATGGCGTAGGAGCTTGGGGAGGACAAGGGACGAATTCCACCTCACCTTTTGGTCAAAAAAATTTATCAAAAATAAAAATAAGTAAAAAAAATTAAAGCGGATACTGACTTACTTCTATACTATTAGGAATCATTTTCTTTTTTTGGTGGGGGGTGGGGGGAGGGACTTCCAGAAGTTTGCCTCCAACACACTTTTCAGCCTACTAATTCACCACACTATGTCATCCCCACCCCTACATAACCCCATGCCATGCTTTTCTTAATTTAATTTTATTTAATTTTATTACTTTATTTTTGTTATAAGACGTAATATTTTCATCGTTAAACCATTATACCGTTAACTTGCTTTTAATGGCTCCCGGATCAAAGATTCGAAGTCAAAGAGTGTGCAATGCTTATTTTTTATCGTACCAGTTGTAACAACGCTCACTGAATTTTCTTTTATAAATTCATAACAAAATTATATACAAAAAAATCTTATAACACCTTATTTCACTATATATAACGTTCTTAATATTGTTTAATGGACATTGTTATAAATATATAAATATCAAATATATATTTATAGAATTCAAAAACTTATAACTATTACTATTATTATCGTGTTGACTATGATAAATCACTTCCAGATTACAGAATTATTATTTTCCAGCTTTTCTTAAATGTTATTTCATCAAAAATAGTTCTTGCTTTATTAAAAATACACGAAATGAATAAAATTGTCAGTTTTCCTTGATTTTATAGTTCGCACTTTATTTTCAACATTACAATAATCAGTTTTGCACCTGTCAAAATATTTTTGAATAATGAAATGTCATTTAACAATATGAACCGTTATCTCATTAGAGATGGCATTGAAATCAGACCACGTGATTAAGAACTGTGAACAACTCAGCAAGTGAACTGGACTGTCAACAAGTTGTCGGGTATATAAACTGATTCGCTAACATAACAAGTTATTCTTTATTATTTCTTCGATAAGCTTGTTCCTTTTGGATATTAGAAATCATGATTAATTCACAGTTCAGCATCGATTATTTGACCAGAGTCGACTCGGAAACAGTCCAAAGAGATTCTATCTCGAGCGAGGGCGATAGAGTCGAGACACCATCTCCATGTACAAGTGAAAGTGAAAGTAGCTGCAGTGACAGTGCCGAATCTATTGCACAGGTATGTTGTCTCATTTAGTTCAAATTTTTAATTGGTAGAGGGGACATTTTTTGGAAGAGGCACACTGACGATCACTCGTAATATGCCGGGGATTTTGCATCTAGTATAGGTTTGCAAACGATTCCTAGTTCAATATATTGAATCATGCAAATTTTTTCCTTAACTTATCTATATAAGCTTAATGAAAGCAACCATAACAGTGCATATATCTAATAAAACAAATGCATTTAATTGAAAGTATAAATGTGCATAACAGTCAACAGAAATTTCAAAAGTAGGAAACACAGGAGGGCTGATCCATTCCCTGGAACCATTTGATTACTGTTGTGTGTTGTCTTAATCAGAGTAATCATAAAACCATATAAACTTCAATTTAATTGCAATTGCCGTAATGCTCCAGGGCTTTGAAACTGGCCCCTACAATTCTCTCTATAAACACAGTTAGAGTTAGGAAAACAATAAGTTAAATATTCTGGCCGTCATCCGTTCTGCATTTTATAAAAAAAAACTTTGGGGAATCGCTTCTTCTAATTAAGATATAATATACTATACTACTTACAAATTTACCGATTCCTTAATTCGACAGCAGCTAATTAAAACTAGTCAAACTAACCAGTAGGTGGTAGATATACAACATATACACAAACAGTATCCCTTTTTTTATGCAAAAACTTCTTATTTGTTGTTGATCAATGTTATTGTTTTATTTACTGATCAATTTCTGTTTTATTATGATGTTGTTTCATTTAATAACATTCACAAGTATCACAAGTATTAGCCAACAACACGTAATAACATTTCCGCGATCTCAACAAACAGAAAATAAATATTAGCAACAAACATGAATATGACATATAAAAAAAAAACACAATGAATAAATATTATTCCAATATGATAAGTTTATTTTCTTTGGTGTTATAAATAATAATAATAATAATAATAATAATAATAACAATAAAAATTAAAACAAATTTTATTGGCTTCTGTGTAATCATAGATTGGAATTATCCCCGAAAAAAAACAAAATATAAATAAATCACAACGGTATGTGAGAGTACTGCGTCTTATGAAATTGAATCCTTGCCCAATGTAAGAGATCATTTTCATTTCAACACCCCCCCCCCCCCCCCCTCCACCTTCCTACTCTAGGTAACCAATTTAATTGTAAATTTCTATTCTTAAAATATAATGGAGCCGTGTTCGTTTATATAACAAAAAATGAAATAAACAATAGACAACAAACCAACAACATAACTAACAAAAATGCATACTTGAAAATTCAAATTGAAATTTATACGAGCATTTTAACAACTGATGCCATTCAAGAATATTGAAAAAGAGGGAAAATATAAGAAAACAGTTTACGTTTATTTACCATAAACAAGTGTAATGCAGATTTGAATCTGCAATTTGTAGATAATTGCAAGCATGCTACAGCTGTTTTAAAGTAATTCTGTTTTTTAGATGCTTATCTTTTGTTTTATTTTCTATAATATTTATTTGATTTTTTACAGGTTCTGTTATCATTAGACAGATCGATCAAGAATGGCTTATGTTCCAGTGATCCCAACGAAAAGCCACCGCACTCTTACATCGCAATGATTTCCATGGCAATACTCAGTAAACTGGACAAAAAAATCTTACTGAATGATATTTATCAATACATCATGGAAAATTTCCCGTTCTACAACAACAAGGAAAAGGCATGGAGAAACAGCATACGTCATAATCTTTCCCTGAACGAGTGCTTCATAAAGAATGGCAGGTCCGATAACGGCAAAGGCAACTATTGGTCCATTCATCCAGCATGTATCGATGATTTTTCGAAAGGAGATTTTAGGCGGCGACAAGCAAGACGGAGGGCAAGGAAAAGTACAGTAAAATCTGTCAATGGATCTCCTAATGAAAACGACATCCGGTACAACTTGGGATATGTACCTATGACATCGTCACAAATTGGATTCCACCCATACTCAATGAAAGGATCTCCAATGCATTCAAACCCGCAAAACCCATATCAGATTTTCCCGTCTCCTGGATCTACATTCGGAATTTCAAGAAAGCCTTTCCCGGCAGCCATGCAGTCGTTTGGAAGTGATTCATTATTTCCCGTTGCACCTTTAGCGTCAGTGGGACGATCATTTAATGTACCATCCACATACTGTACATCGTCATCTTTCAGCCCGAGCACGAATCCAGCCTTTTATTCTTCTTGTCAAATACAGAAAGGGTTTTCTGATTGGTAAAAAAACGTATCCCACGTTTTACAATGTGTGACTTTAAATTTTAACGATCTTTGAAAAAAGAAAAGCTTCATGTGCAATGAAAACCGATTTTTATACGGTACTGGACAATTTTTTATTGTCGTCTGCAGGTTGGACATGCAGGATTGTTTTTGGGAAACTCGGAGCAATTTATTGAACAATTATACAAGTAGAATAGCATTGTCTGTAATACACAGATTGGACTATAGTAACGTTTTTTTTTGTATTGCGTTTGAAGTCGGCTGGTTTTGTAAGTATTTCTCAGGAAATTAAGAAGGACAAAGTGGCAGAAAAATATAAAATTGCGTGGTCAACTGAACATTAACATTTGAATTTTTAGTTGTTGATGTTGATTTTATTGAAAATAAAATCATTCATAGTTCAGCAAATGTCAGAATATATATCGGACTGTATTTATTTATCTTTTCTGTAAATATCAACATACTAAGAGATGATAGTGCTAAAATTTTAACGATTATTGTAAATAAATATATATAAAAAGGTGCAATAAAATTATTTTTCTATTATTTGTAGTGTTATATAAAATAATATTTTCAGATGAAAATTAACAAGAAACTGATATTGGCAAAATAATTCAAACCCTCTTTTTATAAATCCTTCATCTTTCACTTCCTGGACAATTGATCAATTTAGACCTCTAGTTCAGCGGAATTAGTATTTTTGTCTCGCCTTGACGGATTCAAAAAGCAAGACCTAGGTATGCTGTAGTCGGTGGCGGCGGCGGCGGCGTCAACACTGTATTAGTTTATAATAAGGTCAGTTTATGCAGAACCACTAGTGGTTGGTCACAATGATATTTGGTATACAGTTGTTTTAGCATTGGCACATTTCATTTCCATGGAGATTATTTGGTCCCGCCCCCTCAGTCATGTTCTATTGACTTTGAAACTTTTGCTTAGTTTACATGTTTTGGTTAGTGATTAGGTAAGTTTATGGGGAACCACTAGTAGTAGGTCAATGATATTTGGTATGCAGTTGTATTAGCATTGGCACATTACATTTCTATGGAGATAGTTTGACCCTGTACCTTCAGTCATGGTTATTGACGTTAAATATTTTGCATAACTTATAGGTTTAAGTATTGCTATTTTAATTTCAACATTTGCATTCTACTATCAATTTAACAAAAAGATGAGACATAGCTATGTGTTAACAGTTTTTTTTTTTTTGGTTTGTTGTTTTTCATATCTTTCATGTTAGAGGTCGCCAAAAGTAAACGTGTAATATTCCACAGGCGTCCTCGTCAATTGAGTTGAAATGGTGGTGTGCATGACGAATGTTACACATCATAAAAAAACTTGACACGTCTTGTTAACAAGGTTGGGCGGTAAATAAAAAAATACCCGGCTTATAATTTTGTACGTCAAACGCGCATTTCGTATACAAAAGACTCATCAGTGACGCTCAAATCAATAAAGTACGAAGTTGAAGAGCAATGAGGACCCAAAATTCCGAAAGGTTTTTCCAAATACTACTAAGGTAATCTATTCCTGGAGTAGAATACGTGACTTTCTTTCCTGTGACTGTATCTGTCCATTTGCCCAGTAATTGACCTGGTAGGGACGGGTTTTTATAGTAATGTACACTCAATATTTCAATTGACAAGTTTTTACCAGTGTTAGTATTTCCCGGCATTTACCGCCGGCCTGGTCAATATGAGTATTGATCGTTTTTTTGCCAATCTTACTTGTTAATCATCATTAAAAAGAAATAACAAAAATGCTTCAAAAACAAAAACAAAACAACGAAACTATCACTTACACAAACACAAGCCGACTAAAGCATCAAGCAAACAAAACAAACAGAAAAAAAAAAGAAAAAAGAAAAACAACCAGAAAGATGACAAAACTCTATGGAAATTAAAATAAAACAGCAAAATTCAGAAACAAGGTACTTTTCAAAGAAATACTCAATACAAAGGCTATGTCTGTATGAAAGTAACCAACTCCCCATAAGAAAGGAAATTTTAATCATGTTTCCCCCTATATAGGGGTTTAAAAAACGAAGCTGTGAGCATTGGGCTACAAGAAGTCTTAACAATTTTATTTTCGTGTAAGAAAAGAAAAGACATGAAACATGGTTATGACATTCAATCACAAAAGGAACATTGAACAATTAAACTTACATGGAATGATTACCATTATTCATCTTATAAGACTGGAAAGGGTCTTCAACGACTCGCACCTAACTTTCAATTAGGATGACTGCTAGCACTGTTTTAAACGAATATTATGGAACGCCATAGCTGTCTTATGTGTCTTTTTTATTGCTTTTCTATTATACGAAGGTGCTTTTCTATTATACGATGGTGGTTTTTTATTATACGAAGGTGGTTTTCTATTATACGAAGGTGCTTTTCTATTATACGATGGTGCTTTTCTATTATACGAAGGTGCTTTTCTATTATACGATGGTGGTTTTCTATTATACGAAGGTGCTTTTCTATTATACGAAGGTGGTTTTCTATTATACGAAGGTGCTTTTCTATTATACGATGTTGGTTTTCTATTATACGAAGGTGGTTTTCTATTATACGAAGGTGCTTTTCTATTATACGATGGTGCTTTTCTATTATACGATGGTGCTTTTGTATTATACGAAGGGGCTTTTCTATTATACGATGGTGCTTTTTTATTATAATAAGGTGCTTTTTTATTATGTGATGGTGGTTCCCGTGATTAACCGGAAGCGTGGCGTGTATTTGAATCTCACCGAACCAACATGGCGGCCATGGCTGTGAATACTTAAATGTTAAACGTTTTACAGAAATTAAACTTGCAGCAAGCATTTCCAAACTTTGAGAGAGAGAAAATCACTCCATAAAATTGTATGTAGGCTTTCGACACATGAAATGGAAATATTAGGTGTATCTAGTAGGGCAGATATGAAGTTAAGAACTGAATGTGTAAAATATGGAACGTCTGCCCCTAATAAAATAAACTCTGAATGCGGCCCTCCGAAATTTGATATTCCAAAGTCTGTTCTAAAAAATGTTCTGGAAAATGGATTTAAAATATCCGACATTTCTAAATTGTTGTCCGTGTCTGAAAGCACCATTTACCGAAGAATGTCACAGTTCGGATTAAGCAAAATGAATTGTACACAAATTGATGACAGTGATTTAGACTTGACACTTGGACAAATAATGAAAGAGTTTCCATTGTGTGGCGAAACACTATTGCAACAGATGCTTCTATTAAAAGGCATAATAGTACAGAGATGGAGACTGAGGGAGTGTATGCATCGATTAGATACCGCCGGTGTACAGGCGAGACGTACTTGTAGGCTTCATAGGCGTGTTTACAATGTAATGGGTCCAAATCACCTCTGGCACATAGATACAAATCATAAACTTGTCCGGTGGAGATTTGTTATTGTAGGTGGCATTGACGGGTTTAGTCGATTGATAACATTTTTAAAATGTACCGACAACAACACATCAAGAACAGTTTTGGATTGTTTCTTCTCCGGTGTTGCAAAGTATGGGATACCCAATAAAGTTAGGTCTGACAAAGGATTGGAAAATGTTTCTGTGGCAGACTACATGTTGATTCAAAAAGGCCCAAACAGTATGGTAACGGGAAAAAGCACTCATAATCAACGGATTGAGAAACTATGGAGAGATGTGTATGAAGGTGTGCTTAGATACTTTTACAACTTGTTTTATTTCATGGAAGATGAATGTTATCTATACCCACTAAAACTGACAAACTTAGCTGCTCTCCACTTTGTTTTCATGGACGAAATAAACGGGAAGCTGCAATTTTGGGCAGAGGCATAGGCTGGTCATGGACTACGCACTGTTAATTCATCTCCATTGAGCTTGTGGACTTCAGGTCAACTTCAAAATGCCGTAGGAATTACCGAAAGAGAAGCAAATTTGCAAGATTATGGAATTGAAGGCTATGTGGATCAAAATGATGTAGAAGAGGGCGAGAGACCAATATTTGGACCCCTTGCACACATGATAAGTGATCAATGCAGGCTGGATTTAACTCGACAATTGAAAAGAAGCAATACTAACTTTGGAATAGATTATTATCTTGAATGTTTGGAAGTCATTGAAAGCAATAACTAAACTGGTTATTAAAACTTATTTGTAATTTACTAAATTGCCTTAATATCTTGAACGTAAATGGATAACTGCATAACTTCTTTATATACTTAATCTTATAAAACCCCATGACTTTTCAACAACTTCAAGCTTTAAATGGTATATTGGTTATATGTAACTGTATCATTTTGTGTAGAGGTAGTACATGTACAATGTACAGATCTGTGTATCCTCTAACTATTTTAGTATTTATTATAACCAATTTTTCTAACTTATATGGACGCTGAGTTGGCAATTGTATTGTGCAAGTCTTTTTGCTGCGCGTCTTTCGAATCTTGATAGGAAGTCGAGTAGATTGAGGGGCAAGGTTAGTGTACCCATAAACATGGTTCAACCCTACCACTCTGCCAAGTTTTGCCAGAGTGCCTGTACCAAGTCGGGACTTCTCTCTACCTTCTGTACATTTTCCTTTTTGTGTTGTCGCTGTATGTCTCTATTTTGATGGCTTGATTGGTGGTGTTGGTGCTGTTTGATGTTTTATATCGAATTATTGCCATTCCCTGTTTTATCTTTATTTTTTATATATAAAGGTTGGCTACATGGTTCAGCTAAATGAAATTCTTCGGTAATGCTTTCAATGAAAACTTATGTAACTGTGACTTTTACATGCATTAAAAGAATTTGGCCGATAATGAACAGATATTTAAATGTTTGTGTTTGAACTGAAAATCATTAATTGTGTCCTGAATATTAAGTCATTGGTCTTACAATTTGCCAAATTAAAAAGTACTTCAACCAGAGACATATAATACTAGAGATAAGCAACTTTGTGAAATCTCGAGAAATATCGCAGCCACATGCTTTGATAAGAATATAACATGTATAAGAGTCATATATAAAGAAAGAAAGTAGTTAAGTTTTCAGAAATATTCCTTAATTTTTCAAAAACTTAACAAGATATCAAAATATACCGATGACAGAAGTTGTAAAAGAAGTATCAAAAATCAACACATGCCCCTCAATACATTGTTATTTAGTAAGTTTCAAAATATTGTCATGATAATATGAAAACTTCATTTTGTCATAAAATGTTCCAGACCGAAACCTCTTCAATTTTCTATTGTATAATTTTCTAAGAGGGTCTGGAGGGCATGCTCCCCCCTCCCCCACCCCCAGATACCTTTTTAAAACTTAGAGTCATGGTATGAAGATATCAAACACAGAAAATTCAAATTAAATAGATTTTTTTCTACTGAAATTCCTCCAGTCAGGTTTACTAAAATAAATAAACTGTTATTATAGAGATATGTCTCCCTTTTTGGTAATTTTTATAATGCATATGTTGAAATTAAAATAGCAACACTTTAACATGCTAGTTTTGCAAATATTCAAAGTCAATGAACCATGACTGAAGGTACATGGCTAAACAATCTCCAAGGAAATGAGATGTGC